TAAGCGCAGGGACGTGCGTGGCCCGCGCCGCGAGGGGGACGTGCCCAGACGTGGCCGCGGGCGGGGAAAGCAGCGCGACTGGGAGGAGGGTGAGTCCCCGCCGGGGACAGGTGGGCGGGGAAGAGCGGGAGGCCCCAGGCTGGTGGGTTTTGTTTGTTTATCCGTTTCCACTGACGCCTGCGCAGTGACCTCTTCTCCCGCGGCCCTCCCTCCCGCCACGCCCCCTTTCCTGCCGCCGCTCTTCGCCCACCCCAGGCTTACTCTGTCAGCCAATCAGAGCCCGCTGCGGCGTCAGCGCCCGAGGGGCTGCGAAGATTGGTCGGGGCCGGGAAAAGAGGGGGAATTCTATTTGGCGTTCGAGCTGTCTCCAGAAATCCAGCTGGAACCGGTCTGAGGCAGCCAAGGGGGCTGCGGGCGGGGTTTCAAGCGCCTGGCGGGAAAGCCGGCTCCGTTTTGTTGTGGTTCTTTCCTCATGCTGATCCCAGTAGACCCTACGCTCTCGGTGCATTGTAACCATTGCTTGTTGGATAGCTGAAGTATCCAACCCAGGGCCAGCTGACAATTGGCGGCGGGCCGAGACTTTAGTTCAGAAGGCATAACAGTTGTCAAGGGACTTCAGAGCATTAAGCCGGGCTTGGAGTCCTAAGCGTGGGGCCCTCTGCCTGCCCTGCTGGCCACCAGAGCCGTCGGCCAGGGGAGAGAAGGGTCACACCCTCAGGGGAACTTGGAGGTAGAGGTAGAGGCATCAGGCCGTCTGGAGCATGTCTAGATGAGGAGATTGGGTTGAAAAACTAGATGGGACAAGAATGAAGGTTAACAGTAAGTTGGACTTTATCCTGTAGGCTTTGAAAGCTTCTAACTGAAAAAAGAGTTGAAAGCAATGTTTGGTGACTATTGATCTGGCTTTGGAATGTTGAATAGACAGGGATGCCAGGGGAGGGCAGGAGGCTGTTGGAATAGTTACAGGGGGAAAGATAAAGACCCAGGTTAATGGGAGTAATGGGAGGGCTGTGGATGCAGCTCAGTTGGTAGAGTGCTTGCCTCACATGCATTAAGGCCCTGGGTTCAATCCCTAGCACTGCCAAAAAAAAAAAAAAAAAAGGAATAGAAGGGAAAGGTCAATATTCTAAGGAAAGAATCAAGTGTTAGGGTCATCCTAGTGTTTAATACCTTCTGCTCAGTAGATCTTCTTGCTTTGACACTTTCTTTCTACACTTTGTAGCCCTCAGACTACCCAGTAAATACCTTTTGACTTTGGGCAGGTTATACTTCATCTTCCTGGGCCTCAAATTCCTCCACTGTAAACTGAGATTAAAGTGGTGATTATAAGGTTCTACCAAGCTCACATTGACTCAGTGAATCTTGTATTTCTGAGCTAGCCACCAGCACTGGCACTCATTAACTGGTTCATTGTATTTTTCCAGTGCCTCCTGTGTGCCAGGTAGCATATTAGACTGGGAACGTAAATAATTTAGTCTGATAGGTGTTTACTTCTAAAATTTTTGTCACTGACTCCTTCCCATTAGGACTTTAACAACCTTGAAATAACTTATTAACTTCTGTGGCAGGTAACTTACCTGTAACTTGGATATCCTCAGGATCCTTCCTATTCTAACACATCATAATTCATTAGCTATTAGGAAAAGAGAAATCACAGATGACACTGAATTTTGAAGCCCAGGTGAATATTAGTTAATCCGTTTGACAAAAAAAAAATGAAGTAGGAGAACCTGTTTAAGATCAAAGTAATGAGTTTTGTTGGGCATACGTGAATTTCAGAACTCTTTCTTTTCCACTTCACAAATAAAGACATTTTTGATCCTCTTCCATTTGACGCTACAAGTATAATACACATTGACATCTTCTCAGGATGTCCCTTTGCCCATTATTATGTTGGGTCCCTTCTCCTTGAAAACTGTTTCCTTAAGTTATCGTCTCCCATGTATCTTGAGTTCTCCCTTCTTACTGGATTTTCTCCTTCAGTACTTAAACATGCTCATGTCTATTACAACATTAAAATTTTAAAGAAAGAAGTTTATAAGCCCTAGTTTTTACTTATTTCCTATGTTCCTGTTGCTGGAGCAAAGATTTTTGGAAGAGTATCTCCTCATCAGTCATTGCCACATCCCTGCCTATTTTTCAGCCCTCAACTGGTTATGATCAAGAGTCCCACTACTTCACTAATTACTGCCATTTCAAAGGTTACCAAATGATGTGACTGAATGATGTGACATTTTCCAGTCCTTAAATTACTTGATCTTTCTGCAGAATTTGAAATGGCTATCAGTTTTTCTATGTCTCCCAGTATATCAGTCCCTAATGGTATTTCTTCCATCTCTTTTCCCTTTTTGAATTTTTCCTAAACTCATCTCCACAGTCTATCTTCTGTCCTTGTTTCTTTTCTCCCTCTTTCTCACATTCCCTTGCTAGCCCCCTCCACTCCTAAGTGAACTCCTCCAGTGTTGTGCAATGAAAAGAGCTCAGGCCTTGAAAGGCCTTGGTTCAAATCCCAGCTTTAACATTTATTAGCTTTGTGAACTTTGAACTGGTTGTTTAACTTTTCTGGGCCTACTTTTTCATTTATAAAACATAATAGCTATCTCAGAAAGTTGTAGATATATGCACAAATACCTAGCCCTGTGTCCATTAAAAAGTAAACATTGGCAAATATTTACCCCTTTTCCCTTTCCTGACTTCATCTGCTCCAACAACTTTAGCCCATATTTTTCTCTTGGACTTCAAATCCTCTTTCTTAGCTTCCTATAAGATAATATCTCTTTTGAGTTTTATATATACAATACCTACCAGTAGAAATCTCTTGGTAAGTGCTAAAGAATCCTTCCCCTTGAGTATCCTAAAATCTATGTAATAAGAGAGTTACCCACATAGTGCTTTAGGAATTTGGAGGAACATGGCTTAATTCAGCCTAAGAAGAATTAGAGAAAGCATTCTGGAAATACCAGGAGCTAAGTACTAAAGAATGAGTGAAGCATTGGTATCAAGAGTGAAAAAGGAATTTTGCAAAAAGAAATAATATAAGCAGAAGCATACAAGTAATGAAATAGCATTTCTTAATTCCTAGAGAATTTAGAGAGGGATAAGCAACACTGGGATTCAAGCTAAAGATGGAGGAAAGACCTGGAAAGTGTTATATTCATACGTAGGAATTTGGCTTTTATCATGTATATGTTAGGAAACAACAAAAAGAGAAAATGACAATTTTTAGCTTTGCAAAAATTATGAAGAGTAATTTCTTAGGAGGAACACAGCAGTGAATAAATACCTGGAAAGATATTTAATGGAAAGTACAAATTAAGGTCACAAGGAAATAATGTTTTATATCCACTTGATTAATAGAAATTAAGAAATCTTAGTAATACTCTGGTTGTTAGAAAACTATATTATCAAATCCATATGAAGCTAAACATTCACCAGTCATTTCAATAATTCCTCCAATGCCAAAGTTAATAAATATCATAGAAATTTTAAATATATTCATGTTAACTCTAACGTCAAAAAGTAACTAATACTATAATTATAATCTGACTATTGGGGTTGGGGGGAGATTCTGACATTCATACGTGGATCTAATATCAGTTTCACATACGCTCAAATAACTAAAAAAATTACTTGGTACAGTGGCAAATGCCTATAATCCTAGTCACTTAGGACTCTGAGGCAGGAGAAGGGCAAGTTCAAAGCCAGCCTTAGTAACTTAGCAAGTGCCTAACCAACTTAATATCTCAAAATAAAAAATAAAAAGGGCTGCCAGTATAGCTCAGTGGTTGAGTGCCCCTGAGTTCAATACCTGGTATAGAAAACCACTGTAATATTATTGAGTTTCACATTTGAACCCATCTATGATGAAGCTGGTGAGTTTTTCTAGTGAATGAGAGTTTCAAACTTGAACTTCATCAATGGTATGGTTGGTATATTTTTCTGGTAAATGAGCCTAGCCAGCCAAGTGATAACCACATTTTAAGCAAGTTTAATTGTTCTCAAAGGTTTTTTTTTTTTTGGGGGGGGGAAGTATTATATATCATTGTGATATTCATAATTTAAAGATTTACAGAGATCATAAGATGTACCTTTCCCAATCCCTAAAACCGTCCATCTCATTTCATATATAGCTGACTCTACAAAAGACAGCCTTCAATTTTAATAATCAAGGAAGACTAGTAGAGGAAAGGAACCAGGGAAAGGGAGGAGGAGAGAGAGGGGGAAATACTGGGGAATGTATTGAACCAAATTATATTGTGATATCATGTGCATGTACAAATATGTAACAACAGATCCCACTACTATGTATAATTATAATGCACCAATAAAAATATGGAGAAAGGATGAAGATATATACCTCTCTTTTATGACATTTACATTCTCTGAGATTTTTATAGGATGTTTTCCCCTGGGGACTAAGTATTCTTGCTTCCATAGTAACAAATGTAAAATAATAATTGTTTCAAGAAAAAACATTTTAACAGCCCATAATTAAGCTTCAAGATTGGGGTAAAATCCTATTGAAAGATAAGATTTAAATTATCTTAATATAAGATTTATACATAGATAACTAATATCTTTTATTCTAGTTAAGTAAATTTTAATATAAACAACCTCTGTGAAAATCCAAAGTGTAGGCTTTGAAGTCACATAGCTAAGTAACTTATGAAAGTGAATACCATTGTACAATTGATCTCTTTGCATTAAAGAGGGTCAAAGAACATAGAAAGCCAAAAGAAGATGGCTAGGTGAAACACAGGACAAGGAGAAGCTATAAATTTTTTATTTCTGTCATTGAAATGGGTTGAGAAGATCATGAGCTAAACATCATTCCTGCTGTTCCTCTATATTCATTGTCCAGACACCTTCACGCCTTCTCTCTATGCCTTCCTGATATTCTAATCCTAGTTTGGTTCTCTTGCACTGGTATTTCTACATAGAGCACATATTAGATGGTCTTTTTTCCCTTTGATGTATGCAGAGAAATCCAAAGAAAATGATAGAATTAATTAAACTTATATTGAAATGTTTGGGGTATTTATAAAATATTGCTTCATATCCACATTAGCATAGGGACAAAAATGATCACATCAGGAAGATGAAGAAGATTTCTGTTCTGTACTTCACTTTAACAGTTATACTGTAATCACAATATCCCCGCATAGCTAAGATCTTATAAGAGAACCAATACTTCAATATCTTCTTCAAATGTCTCGCTGTTTATGTTGTGTTTCTAGTGAGACTCCACTGAGTATATGCTACATCAGAATCACTCTTCTGGAGTGGGGAGGGGAGGCAGGATAGAGGTCTAGAGAAAGTCTAAATACCTGTTTTCAATTATTTATATCCTTCTCTTCAAAGATTTATTTTCTTCTCCCTACTTTTCCTTTTTTCCTTTCCACATTAACTTTCATTTTCTGAGCCACTGTTTTTAAGTAAAGGATTTTATGCACTAAGAATGGAAGAATGAACTGACACCTCTGAGTAGCTATACTAAGTTATAGTTACTTAGTCCTTGGTAAAGAGCAAAACTTGAAATAATTAACATATTAACCAAATCATAGTCTTTAAAGTAGTTAATTCCACTTTCATATGCTAACCTTTCAGGCATTAGCTAAGGTTAAATTTAATATTGATTAGATGGATTATATATAGAGAGAGAGATTGCTTTTATTACTATAAAAGGTAATAAAGTAATGCAACTTTCCTTCTCACATGAATATTTCTAAATGAACGTTGGTCTTCAATGTAGAACTTTGTGAAGTTATAACCTTATTCCAATTATATTGTCATCATTCAAAACATTTTCAGAAATCATTTTGTACTTGTGAATCTTTGTCCTCTAATAGTGGAATTGTTTAGGGATCCTCATCAAAAGTAATTTTAAAGCCCTAGGGTAATCAAACTGTACTGAAAATGAAATATAGCTTAAGTACTAATTTTTTGTATGTGCTTAAACTATCTCTGAAACAAATCCCAAAGAAAAGCACCAAAATCCTGTTGCACAATTGTTTGAATTTCTGTAGTCTACCATAATAATGGAATTTAGGAGAAAGACTCATTTGACTACATGTGGTACATTCATTTTAAAAATGTCTTAATACGCCACACCGACTGGAATATTAATGACAATTTAATTACATAAATAAAGCAAAGAACAAGTTAAAATTTTTTGGCTTTTTGTATACTTGCTTTTTTGATATATAGATAACTTATTATAGTTTGTTCATTCATTCAACAACTATCATGTGCTGACCATGAGTCAAGCATATACAAGATGCAATGGATACAAGTTCGAGAACAGAAACTTTCTGCAAAGGAATTCATGCTTGAATGTAGAAGCTTATATTGTTAAGGAATCCAAATGCCAAGTGAAAATATACATTTCCCAGACGATAAACATGATTTAATGAAATGTTTTGCAATTATAATATTTTTTAAAGAAATGAGACTGGAAATTTAGTAAAATATTTGTTTTATGGCCAGACAATGTATGTCTGAAAAAATAAATATTTTAGTTAGTTATTTATCGAATCTAACAATTTACAACTTTAAATATGATATCCATCAATGTGATGAATAGTCCAAAATAGCTATCCAATCCTAGTCTAAATTAACTTTCTCAAAGACAAAAATTTTGAACTTCTGAAGTCCATTTATTTCTTAAGTTCTGTCATTTTCTCCACAATAATCAAAATATAAAATGTAAAACATAAGAGACAATTTGTAATTGCAGTAAATTATATTTCTTAAACTTTTCTGTAAAAACTCTTCAAGGAATTAATAGGATCTTCTTATTTAAGATGGTTTGGTATTTTCAGGAGGATGACCAATTGTTTTATAGATGTTGTCATATTTATGGTAGGTAGTACTCATGAACAGGCAACCGACTGTCTGTTGGTCCACCTAGAAGGATCTGTGATATAAATTTGAAATATTTTATTATACAATGTTATATTTAGACCAAATTTATTATTGAATGCAAGTAAACATGAATATGCTCACTGATAAGGAAATTTTAAAAATACAGTTCTGTTTTATGAGTAACATTTAGAAATGTTGCTAATAATTTCAAATATGATATTTTCAGATCATTAAAATATTCCTTAATTCATGGCAACAAAGTCCAAAAAATTAGGCTTTCTATAACTTCCATAACATTTTAGCATTTGTTTGCAGTGCCTTCTGGAGAAGATACGGAAAAGGGGGAAATAATGGCAAAAGAAGGGAAGTTCATCTGATTGACATTTGCTTCACATTATTTCCATTGTTTTGCATTAAGTTAGTTATGCCACCCTTTCCTGAGATAGAATATAAATATCAAAAATAGGTCTCATTGTTTGACAGAGAATTTTGCCACGAATACCTATTTCAAATTGACATTTTTTTAATAAAAGACCATCCCATTTATTCATGCATATATTTCAGACAATATTAAACCATTTGTTTTATAGATTTGTTAAAAATAGGAAAAAATTTCTTCACTTAGTTCTCTGGCTCATTGAGTCAAAAAGACTATGATCCTGATTGCATGTTTTATGTATTTTTCTTTGTATTTATGTTTAAAGTTAGGCAAAGAAAGTTTTTTTATCCAGTTCTACATGCATTCTTTGAGAAAGTGTTGTTATGTATTATTAGACAACTTTAAGATTTAAAAATTATTAAAAGTTTTAAAATGCTTATTACTACAATATCTTTGTAATTATATTACTCATTCCCCTATAAAAGAGAATTCAGGGCTAAGTGAAACTATGACTGAAATTTCTTGGATAACTTATTAGAATGAAATGTTATACGTTATACATGCATATAACAAAGTCAAGCTTACTGTTCTTTGGCAATGTGTCTTTTAAAATCGATGAATTTTACTTTTAAATACACACATAAAGACAAGCACTGAAACAAAACCTAAAAATCTATTTACTGCTGCTTGCACTTTGACCTTAGTTTATTGGTGGACCCTGACACAATAGAAGAAATAGAAGGGGTTTTTTACCCTAGGCAAAGGAAGACTTGAAGATTGATTATGTGCAACCTAGTTATCTTTACAAGAAGCCAAATTTCCAAAGGAAAATAAACAGGATTTTCAGGGTTTGAAGCCAGATTTACCTCATGGCCCCGCTATGTCTATTTATAATTTCCCCTATGATAGTTGATAAGAGAATGAGAACAAATGAGAGAAATATGAATAAGTGGTTAGTTTCCAGGTAGCAACATAAATACTTAAAAATTGAAAATATTGTGATTGCTGCTGCTCTGCTACTGCTTCTGCTTCTGCTTCTTCTCCTTCTCCCTCTCCTTTTTCTTTTGTTTTTGTTTTTGTTTTCTGGTACTGGGGATTGAACCCAGAGGTGCTTTACAACTGAGCTACATACCCAGCCCTTATTTATTTTTTATTTTGAAACAAGGTCTCTATAAATTGGTTACGACCTTGCTAAATTGCTGAGGCTGGCCTTGAACTTGCAAGACTATTGCTTCAATCTCCTGAGCCACTGGGATTACAGGCATGGGCCACCATACCCAATGAAAATATAGTTTGGATACAATGTGTAAGCAAGTGACATACATGAGTCACAGTGAGGCTGACTTGGTAAAATCCTAATGAAGACGACATACAGAGGACAGGAATTTTCCAACCCGTTCCTAGACCAAATAGCCAGGGCTCTAACGAAAACCCACTTTAACAGATCAGTTTGTTTTTCTTTTTTAAGTCTATTTACTATCTAGGGATTGTGCTTAATATTTCCTTTTCAGACTCTTTCTTTTAAACCTCTTTTTTAATCAAAATGTAAGTTGTTTACCTGATCCACTTTTAGTAACTTGGGTGAAATCATCCTCTTCCTCATCACAGCTTTCACAGCTTAATTGTTGAAGGACTGTTTCTGACTGACTTTCAGATTGATTGACATCTTTCTGAAGCTTATCAAAGCTTCGAAGTGCAACAAGACGATGATGTATGGCTGCATACAGAAATCCTGTATCTTTGACACTAGCCTGCATTAGGAACATTAAGTTAATAATACAAATCACATACTAATGTTAGCTACATTTGATAGATTTTTAATTTTCCCTACTAATAAGGAGGAAATTGTATGGCATAAATAGAGAATGTAAATAAATGCAAACAATCCTACAAATTAAGGAATAAAAAGCCAATTAATTTTGAACCAAATTGCATCCTAAAGTGAATAATTTTATAATAGGTTCCAATTTGTACATTTTTTTATGTAACTTTTTCATTTATATATGACAGCAGAATGCATTGTAATTCTTGTTACACATATAGAGCACAATTTTTCATATCTCTGGTTGTATACATAGTATATTCACACCAACTCATGTCTTCATACCTGTACTTTGATAATAATGATCATCACATTCCACCATCATTAATTACCCCTTGCCCACTCCCTTCTTCTCCAACCCTTCTGCCCTATCTAGAGTTTGTCTATTCCTCCCATGCTCCCTCTCTCTAACCCACTATGAATCAGCCTCCTTATATCCAAGAAAACATTTGGCATTTGGTTTTTTGGGATTGGCTAACTTCACTTCACGTTATATTCTCTAACTCCATCCATTTACCTGCAAATGCCATGATCTTATTCTTTTATTGCTGAGTAATATGTCATTGTGTATATATGCCACATTTTTTATCCATTCATCTACCAACTTATACATTTTAAAATGAGAAAGTAGGGGCCTGGCATATGGCTCAGTTGTAGAGCTCTTGCCTAGCATGCATAAGGCCCCAGGTTCAATTCCCAGCACTGCACAAGAAAAATAGAAAAGTAAATTGAGAAAGTGAAATACTGTCATTTAAGATTTCTGTTTGAATTGAAGTCTGCTAAGGTCATTCTTCTTCCACTGTTTTAAGGGGGAAAAAAAAGACTTTCATTTTCTTTCCATCACTTTGCTTAGACATTTCTCCACATCACATAGCTTGACAAAAAAGCAAAGTTCATGAAAACAATCTATGATATTTACAGTAAAGACATCAACAGTTCTTGCTTTCCGGTACTTTTCTATGCTTCTTTTAATTTTTTAATCAATATTAAAATAATGGTAACAATAACATTGTACAATATTAACTACTATTCTTCTTTATTTAATTTTTACAATAATATCAGAGGGTTCATTGTTTATTCCATTATATTAGCAAAAGCAGGTATTAAAGATATTCAGTATCTACTTATTTCCTTTTTCTCCTTACAAATGAGGAAATTGTGGCTCAGAAAGGTAAAAGGACTTGTCTGAGTTACAGCTACTCAGCAGAATGCTGAAACTTGAATCCCAGGTTTTTATCATTCAGGTCACTGGGATTAATGGAATCATTTATGACACAGAATCAAACTGTTACATCTACTAAATAATTTTTGGACAACATACAACTATTTAATAGTATAAAAACGCTCATTTACATTGATGAGTGAAAAATCACAAATGTGTTTTTCATAATCATTTTAGCTATTAATTTTTCTCAAGCAGTTTTATAAAGTCCTTTATCATTTTCTTTATTTTGCACATGAGTAAGTAAGGGTAAAGAAGTCTAAGTAACTTGCCTGGAAGTCTTACAATATACAGTATGGTACATATGTATATACACATAGTTGGATTTTTTTCAAATTTTGGAATACTTGCATTTACATAATAAAAGATATCTTTGGAATGGAATCCAAGTCTAAACATGAAATCTATATTTCACCTACACCTTTACACATAGTAGGAGGCAGTTTTATTACAATATTTTTAATGTGCCTGTGTTTTGACTGGGACCCATCACATGAGATCAGGTATGGAATTTTCTATATATGGAAATCTATGTGGCTCAATGTTCGGGGTATTAGGAACATTTGGATTTCAAATTTTCAAATCAGGTATGCTCAATCAATGTAAATATAAACCAAAGTGTTACTAATAATCATCATCTCTGAAAACAAAAAATAAATTAAAAATAATAATCATCATCTCTGAAAACAAAAAATAAATTAAAAATAATAATCATCATCTCTGAGGTTGGAATTTTGAGTGATTTTTATTATATGTGGTTTGCTTATCTCTAATAAACATCCTACAATTTAAAAAGGCAGCATGGGTTAGGTATTGAGCAGCAGAGTCTTATCAGTCTCAGTTTGGGGCACACTGCTTTTCTCATTCAAAACAAGGGAGTCTGGCCTGGCAGAGTATAAAGTAGTATCTTCCTGAATGGCAAACAGGGTTCGAACATCATCTCATTCTAACATTTTAATACACAACATGTCTTGCACCTGACAATATTCTTATTTATAGTTAAATTCAAAACCTTTGGGGTTTTTTGGCTTTGTTTTTAATCACTGGGCACAAACTTTTTGCTCCATTATTTTATGGAAGCCCATTTACTTGTGTTGTTACCATCTGCCTAAATCCCTTGAGTATTCAGTGTTCCCCAGTATTCTGGGTCTCAGCCCACCAGGGAAACCCAGCTTTTTTTTCCCAAGAGGAGAGGGGCTTTCTTCTTGGCAGCTTTCTTGTGTCTAGATCTTGTATTTGAGGTCAAGCATTCTTCCTGCCAGGAACAGCTAAACTGTGCTCCGATCCTGTTACCTTGGAGATTGATTCATGTTCAGAATTGGAATTTGCTGTTGGGTTGGTTCTTATAACTTGCTAACCCTGTATTTTTCCATTTCTCACTGGCTCCTTTCCAGTGATCCCAAAGCCTTCGTTATCTCAGCTTCCAGTATTAACACCAGGCTTCAGATTCTGCCAACCTCTTCCTGGGAGCCATAGCTGACAATATAGTCACTTTGGTAACTTATTAAGATACTTGGCACAATTTCAATAGTGGAAGAAAAGGTAGTTTAGATGGCATATATGATACAAATGTCTTTTTTAAAAAAATATTTATTTTTTAGTTTTAGGTGGACACAATATTTTTATTTTACATTTATGTGGTGCTGAGGTTCAAACCCAGTGCCCCTTGCATGCTAGGCAAGCGCTCTACCACTGAGCCACAATCCCAGCCCCAATACAAATGTCTTTGACAGGTACTAAATGATTACTATAGACTTCGATGTTAATTTCTGAGCTCCACATAAAATTATATTAAACTACAAATAACTAACAAATGGCTGATTTCTTTGCCAATAGTACAGATTGTTATACCAGTGAAAAGCAAAAGAGGAATTGCAGAGATCTACTAATGTATTAGTAGGATAATCTTCCATCACTGAAATTTGTCACTTACCTGAATTAAAAATACTTTGATGCTATTGTCTTCTAAATTAGTAGCCGTTATTCGCAAATTTTTCCGATTTGCTCTTTGAACTTTCATCTGAGCCCAGAGTTTGCTGTTGAGGATCAGCCTCAGACTGCCTTGATTGCGCATAACTATAATAGGAAGTTGAAAATATCAGATTACAGTTCTTGATTCCTTGGCCTTCCAGGAAACTCACCCTTTTTTAAATATTGCAGTTTTTTGTCAGACTGTATTTTCACTAATAAGTTATAATTTGACTAGATTATAACTTGGTTTTTCAAACTGTATTTGAGCTTTATTATGTTGAAGAGCTTTTTTTAGCTTAAATGCTATAACTATATTTTAAAATGATTAAAATTTTAAAGAATATTTGTCCAAGAATTGTTTATAATGGAGAAAACTGAAACAAAAACTTTTAAGCATACAAAAAGTGGAATTGGAAAAATTACAGTGCAGCATTTCAAGAGCATATTATGAATCCATTAAGAATACTGCAGAAATATATAGTGATATGGAAAGATAATCATGGAGACCACTGAAAAACTGTCAGGTTCCAAAGCAGCATTTCACAAACTGTGTATACGTATATGTATCCAAAGAACAAGGTCCACAAGAATGGACTGTTCAGAGGTTTTCTCAGGAAGATAGGCCTTTAAGTGATTTCTTTTTCTTTTTGTGGATCCACATTTTTTGTTTTGTACAGTGAACATATATTACCTGCACAATAAAAAGAAAAATTGTTTGGGGGGTTTTGTTTCTTTGTTTTTTTTTTTTGTTTGTTTGTTTGTTTTTTGTTGTTGTTTGTTTTTTGTTTTGTTTTTTGGTGGGCAATTGAATTAAACCAGAGTAGAGAACAACTAATACTGCTTTGGGAATATTATTTGATTGAGTTACTTAGAAACCTGCTTGCCAGGACAGGCACAATGGCACACACCTGTAACCCCAGTGGCTCAGGAGGCTGAGGCAGGAGGATCACAAATTCAAAGCTAGCCTCAGCAAAAGCGAGGTACTAAGCAACTCAGTGAGACCCTTTCTCTAAATCAAATACAAAATAGGATTGGGAGTGTGCCTCAGTGGTCGAGTGTCCCTGAGTTCAATCCCTGTACACCCCCCCCCC